ATTTCTTAATGATAGCCATTCTTACTGGGGTGAGATGGAATCTCAGTGTTATTTTAATTTGCATTTCACGAATGACCAATGATGTTGAACATTTTCTCGTATTTATTTGCCATTTGTATTTCTTTATCTGAGAAGTGTGTGTTCATTTCAGATGCCCATTTTTGGCTTGGGTCTTTGAATTTTGGGGGGCTGATGTTTTTTAATTCTGTATATGTTTTAGACAGGAGTCCTTTGTCCAAGGGACAGTCGGCTAGAATTTTTTCCCAATTTATGGGTTTTCTTTTTACTGTGCTGGTGATTTCTTCAGATGTGCAAAAACTTTTCAGTAGGATGAGATCCCAGTTGTTGATTCTATGAAGCATTTCCGTTGCAGTTTGTTTTTTGTGCATGAACTCTCTGCTTACCCCTATGTCTTCAAGAGTTTTACCTGCTTTCTTTTCCAGTAGATTTAATGTTTCTGTTTTGATATTTAGATCTGTAATCCATTTTGGCTTAAGTTTGGTGCATGGTGATAGACATGGGCCTAGTTTCAGTCTTTGGCATGTGGTGAGCCAGTTTTTCCAGCACTATTTATTAAAGAGGCTATCTTTCTTCCATTGAACTTGTTTGGCCCCTTTGTCAAAGATAAGGTGGCTGAGTGTGTTTGTGGTTGTGGCTGCATCTCCAGTCTATTCCATTGATCTTCAGGTCTGTTTTTTTGCCAGTACCATATTGATTTTATCACAGTAGCCTTGTAGTATAATTTCAAGTCAGGGATTGTGATGCCACCTGACTTGTTTTTCTTGCCCAAGATTGCTTTTGCTATTCTGGGTTTCTTCTGGTTCCAAATGAATTTTAGGAATGTTTTCTCTAGATCTATGAGGTGTGTTAATGGTAGTTTAATGGGAATTGCATTGAATCTGTACAGCAGTTTTAGGAGTATGGCCATTTTCATAATGTTGGTTCTTCCTATCCGTGAGCAAGGAATATCTTTTCATTTTCTGAAATCTTCTGATTTTTTTTCAGAGTACTGTAGTTTTCACTGTCTAGATGTTTTACTTCTTTCGTTAGACTGATTCCTAAATATTTTAATTTTTTGGGTGCTACTGTGAAAGATATGGTTTCCTTAATTTCTCTCTCAGTGTGTTTGTTGTTTGTGTACAGGACTGCTACTGATTTTTCAGTGTTGACTCTGTATCCAGCTATGATATTGAATTTATTAATTAATTCTAGGAGTCTTCTGGTGGAGTTTTTGGGTTCTTC